AACTTCCTACAAGATCCCCTGCAACGTAGTTACAAACATCTCAACAATGCCAGAAACTGGCATTCAGAATTGTGATCCTGCTTTTTAAGCATTATATAACCCTCAACCCTAGAGATAATGAAGAATACTAATGACATATAATGTTAATAAGAATACTAATGACAAATGAATGCCTCGGCAGCTCTGGGTCAGCATATAATCCCTGAAAAGAAGCAGCAGCTTCTTCCCTACTCTGCCAGAGACAGGTCTCAACTCAGAGTCAAATGCAAATAACTTGACTCAAAGGGAGACAATAAGTGGCTGAAGAAACAGAGAAAAGTCTGTCACCAGAAGCCCCCACCTCAGCAGGGGGCCTACTGGGATCACTGACCCTCACCTTACAGAAATAGGTGATGCCTGTTTACAGTACAAAATTGCAAAGGTATAAAAGGAACCGTTGAAAAATAAGCCTCCTTCCAACCCCTGACCCCCCCCTGACTCCCCAGGGGCAACCCTGTTGCTAAATTCTTTGCATCTTCTTAAAATACACCTTTGGAAGAGCTGTTGAATGCATGGACATTGAAATGGGAACCTGTTTTAGAAATGCATGTTCTTTTGGAATTTTAGGATCTAAGGGACCTGGTTCAGCCCTTAATTCACAACCCACCTTAGTATTGCTCCTGCATACAAAGCTCTCTGAGGTTGAGAAACCATTCCACTCAGAGGCAGCTCATTCCACTGTTAGATAGCTCTAGTTTCGGTGACCAAAGATTATTTAAAAAATTTTTGAAATCTGCCAATCCAGTGTTTTTCCTCATCATTCCTTGCTTTGCCCTCAAAGGCCAGAGAAAACAGGTGGTCAAATGCCTCTCGTCTAAGAAGGCACTTAAAATATTTGACACCCTCCTTTCTTTATCCTGTCAAATAACCTATTTCTCCTCCCTTTCCATTGGGTGTGTGGTTGCAGGGGACTCACCACCACATTCTTTTAGAAAAGATTAAACTCTTATTTGAAATACCCAGAAAGGGGCAGCCCGGGTGGCTCAGTGGTCTAGCGCCGCCTTCAGTCCAGGATGTGATCCTGGAGTCACGGGATTGAGTCCCATGTTGGGCTCCCTGCATGGAGCCTGCTTCTCCCTCTGCCCGTGTCTCTGCCTCTCTCTCTCTCTCTCTGTGTCTCTCATGAGTAAATAAATAAAATCTTTTAAAAATAAATAAAAAAAAATACCCAGAAAGCTCTTCAAAGAGGAAAACTGCTCATCAGAGGAGCAAAAAGGTTTCCGATTTGTCGCCGGCAAAGAGAATGAACAGCCTGTGTTATGAAAATGGATAGCCTACGTGAGATTTAATATGGGAAATACTAGAGTCTCAATACATACTTGCTAATACGGTGTCCGTGGGTGCTTTACCCAGAAATTTTCTGGCCAAGCAGAAACTTGGGTAGTAACTTCTCTAAAAACTTTCCAAGATATATTCTGAAATAGAATATGGAGTCCTAATGTCTCTATTTGAAAAGTCGTAGTATTAGAATGGTGGGGAACACGGCCTGGATTTGGGTTCAAGGCTGGCTTCATGACACACAAATTCTACTTTGGTATGTTGGGGAAGTTATTTATTTAACCTTTTCCAAGCCAGTGTCATCTTGCTATAAAAGGCAAACAGAGTATAACGTAGCTATCGGGTCAGCTGAGCTCACTTCTGATCAGTGCTTAGCATGGAGTTGGGGCTGCCCCTGCTATTCCTAGGGTGGTGGCGGCAGTGGCTCTTGCCCGGGGTTTGGCCTGGGATATGCCCTGGGAGCACTCTCTGCAGACACCAGGTGCCTGAGAACCCTTTATGCAGGGCCCAGTCTGGGCAAAGCTTTGTTCTCTTAAGAGGATGCCATTCCTGCCAGCTCGGTCATATAGTTTTTCACCTTGCAAGTAGCACGTTTTCAGGCCACTCCACTACCTGCCAAAAAGTACAAAATTATCTGGAATGTCACCCCTTTATCACAAACTCAGAGGAGAAACTCAAACCTGAGATAGGTGTCCCAGTAGGATGTTAATGTCACACATTCCTCTCCGTTCCTTGGGATCAACCCAGTACCAGGTGGTCTGCCTGAAGTGTCCCACTGCCTCCTTGAGTAATTGTTTTAATAAGGCTTTGCTTCCTGAGATACCATCAGATCGTATCAAAGGTTGTTGGAACACAACATCCCTATAAAGGTTCATACCGCAACAAAGAGGTGGCTAGCGAGAACTCTAACGTCCTTACACTTTGTCTTCTTTTGAGGGGCCCATGCGAGAAATTGCTATGCAGTCTTAAAAATTCGTTGTACTTTTGAGCAGCCCGGGTGGCTCGGCGGTTTAGCGCCACCTTCAGTCCAGGGCGTGACCCTGGAGTCCCAGGATCGAGTCCCACGTCAGTCAGGCTCCCTGCATTGGGCCTGCTTCTCCCTCTGCCTGTGTGTGTGTCTCTCTGTGTGTCTCTATGGATAAATAAACAAAATCTTAAAAAAAAAAATTCATTGTAGTTTTAATCGGTTGAATGTTTTAACATAAAGATACTCTGATTTGTGCCACCTCCCGTATTCCTTGACAGAAGTGTTGGAGCCAGTTCTGTGGTCTTTGTTAGGTACGCACACGGGACTTTGTCGTGTGCAGCTCTTCTGTAAGACCCACTTCCAGATTCATCCTATGTTCCGCTGTGATGTTTCTGGTTTGCTCTTCCCCAACTTGTGTTCCTTCCATCTTTGTGTTTCTTTGCGAACTGCTGGAAGTCCTGTTTGGAACATGTGGAGGAAACCAAAACATGGTCTGCAGGATCTTCACAGCCTTCTTCACCAGGGGCTAAATGAGTTCAGCAGGCTCAGGGCTCGTTCTTACCTGTTAAAACAAAGGAGCAAACAAGAATGATTCTAAATTCAGATGAAAAAAACACAGGTTCTAGGGGTGGTGAGGAGCCCTGTGCTCGGGACCCCTCCTCCAGCAACAGGAGAGTTCTGGACTTTAAGTGCCCTTGCTTTAGGTTGGGGATTCCTACTCCAACAGTGAGGACACCCCGGGCTGGACCAGGATGAATGTCACTAGTGAGTCTGGCCAGGACAGCAGGGGATCTGGTTGTAGAATGGGGCCAGGGGCCACCTGCCCCCTCTGGGAAGGAGCAGTGAGGAGAGGCGGTGCTCTGCAAAAGAGACGTAGCTCAAGTCTCTGCAGCTGAAGGGAAAGGCGAGAAAATGAGTGAAGATATCAGTGAGGGTGACAAAACACGAGAGCCCCCTAAGTCTGGGAAACGAACAAGGGGCGTGGAAGGGGAGGTGGGCGAGGGGGGGTTGAGGTGACTGGGTGACGTGGGTGACGGGCACTGAGGGGGGCACTTGGCCGGATGAGCACTGGGGGAACTCCAATAAAAAAAATTAAAAAAAGTTTCTGCAGCTGGAGAAAATCTAGTTGCTTCTGGCCAGACCCTTAGCAAACTTCCCAGCACTTCTCCTGCTTGAGTGACCCTCTTGTCTCAGGACAGGGCGGGGCGGGGGGGGGGCACCTGGCTTCTGCAATAGGGTCTCCAGTGCGGTTTGTCTGGAGCCTTTATTGGAAGCGCTGATCTTCTGCGAAGTGACTGACCACGCGTGTTTGCTTTCCGGGGAGCCCTGGCCGTGCGCCGGGCGCTCGCTCCTCACGCATCCACTCAGCTCTTCTGCGAGTCCGTGTGTGAGCCCGGAGTCGGGTTCCAGGGGGTCGGGGGTGGGGGGGGCTGCGACGGGCCCGCAGACTTGAGAGCGGCGGCTCCGCTGCCGCGTTGGGGTGGGGGCGCCCGGAATGCGGGGTGCTTTCCCATCCTTGCCATCACCCGCCTGGGCCTCAGGCGTGGCCGCGGGGCGCGGGGCCGGGGATGCTCCGCCAGGGGGAGGCACGGGGGGCGGAGATGCGCCGGGGTTCCCGGGACGGGGCGGGGGCGGGGGGAGGCTGCTCCGCCAGGGGGAGGCACGGGGTGCGGAGATGCGCCGGGGTTCCCGGGACCGGGCGCGGGGGGCGGGGGCTTCTCCGCTAGGGGGAGGCACGGGAGCGGAGATGCGCGGGGGTCCCCGGGACGGGGCGGGGCGGGACGGGGGCGGGGGGAGGCTGCTCCGTCAGGGGGAGGCGGGGGAGGCACAGGAGGGGGAGGTACGGGGGGCGGAGATGCGCGGGGGTCCCCAGGACGGGGCGGGGGGCGGGAGGGAGGCTGCTTCGCCAGGGGTGTGCACGGGCGGGGGAGGCACGGGGGCGAAGATGCGCGGGGGTCCCCAGGACGGGGCGTGGGGGGGGGGCTGCTCCGCCACGGGGAGGCACGGGGGGCGAGGATGCGCCCGGGTCCCCAGGACGGGGCGCGGGGGGGGGGGCTGCTCCGCCAGGGGGAGGCACGGGGGCGGGGATGCGCCCGGGTCCCCGGGACGGGGCGGGGGGGGAGGGGGGCTGCTCCGCCAGGGGGAGGCACGGGGGCGGGGATGCGCCCGGGTCCCCGGGACGGGGCGGGGGGGGAGGGGGGCTGCTCCGCCAGGGGGAGGCACGGGGGCGGGGATGCGCCCAGGTCCCCGGGACGGGGCGGGGGGGGGGGGACGGGGGCTGCTCCGCCAGGGGGAGGCACGGGGGCGGGGATGCGCCCGGGTCCCCGGGACGGGGCGGGGGGGGGGGGACGGGGGCTGCTCCGCCAGGGGGAGGCACGGGGGCGGGGATGCGCCCGGGTCCCCGGGACGGGGCGGGGGGGGGGAGGGGGCTGCTCCGCCAGGGGGAGGCACGGGGGCGGGGATGCGCCCAGGTCCCCGGGACGGGGCGGGGGGGGGTGGGGACGGGGGCTGCTCCGCCAGGGGGAGGCACGGGGGCGGGGATGCGCCCGGGTCCCCGGGACCGGGCGCCGCCGCCCGCCGTCTGGGCCGCTCGGCTCCTCCCGCCGCCGCCTCGGCCGCCGCCTGGCCCCTCCCCCGGCGGCCCGGCCCGGCCCGGCCCCCGCCCCCGCCCCCGCCCCCGCGAGCTAGACGTCCGGGCCGCGCCGCGCCCGCAGCCTCCGCCCCCGGCACGGTGCGCACGCCCGCGTCCCCGCGAGTCCGTCCCCGGCCCGAGTCCCCGCGAGCCCGTCCCGCGGCCGCCGCCCCGCAGACGCGACCTCAGGCCCCGCCGCCCGCCGCCCGCCGCGATGCGCCCCCCGGGGCCCGTGGGAGCCGCGCTCCTGGCGCTGCTGGCGGCGCACTTGCAGGCGAGCCCGGCGCTGGAGGAGAAGAGAGGTGAGCGCCTCCCGCCCTCCGTTCCCGCTTCCTGGAGGGCCGGCTGCGCCCCTGCCGGGGCCGTGGGAGGAGGAGCGGCCGCGGGTTCCCGGGCCGGGGCGTCCCAGGCGGCCGGACGGCAGGCTCCCTGCGCGGGGCCCGCGGGGCTGCAGCGCGCGCAACTTCCCGGGCTCGGCGGCCGCGGGGCGCCCCGCGCCTCCTCCCGGGGCCCGGCTGCGCTCGGGGGCGGGGTGCGCGCCCCCGGGGCTCGGGGCGAGCCGGGTCCCCCTCCGCGGCCGCGGACCTCCCGAGCGCACCCCCCCGGGTGTCGCTGCACCCCGACCTTGCCAGCCGGGGCGGGCCCTCCCCTGGGGTGCGCGCACCCTTCTGGGGGGGTCTCGCGGTGCCTCTGCCTGTGGCTGCCCTCCTCGGCTACAACGGGGTGCGCTGGGCTCCCCCGCGCGCGGCCCCCCGGCGCTGTCCCGCTCTCCATCCCCCTGCGCGCCGGGCGCACCGGGCTCCGCGCGCGCCCCTGACCTCCGGGACCTGCGGGACCTGCGGGACCTGCGGGCACCTGCAGCCCGTGGGGTGCGTCCCCAGGCTCCCGGCGGCGCCCGGACGCACGGAGCCCGGTCCCGCTCAGGTCCCCTCCGCTTCTCGAAAGGAGGCCCACGGCACACTTTCCTTCTCAAGATCCCGAGATTTCTCTCGTGGCGGGGGGGGGGGGGATGTTCCTTTTAGCCTTTTTGGAGAATTTGACGTTGGGCCAACCGAAATATTGAAGGTGATGTTTTTTGAAAGAAGGACTGATGGCCGTGGCTCACCGGTGCCAAATGTCCAGACTGAACATGAGCGAGCCTTGGCTTCGTGACTACCGGCCATAAACCCACTTGACATGAGAAACATGCCTCCGAAGGCTTAATTACACAATTTCAAAACCAAGCAGCCCGGGTTCCAAGAGTCAGGTCTGTACTTGCTGCTGATGTCATTGGCACAGGGAGTCGGGCTTCGGCGCTGAGTGAGTTTGTTAGGGCAGCATCAGTGCACAAGCCGGTGAGGTTCCCAAACTTCGCTGCGGGTTACAATCACTTGGGATCTTCAAACCAAACGAAAACTCAGGTCTGCCCCCCCCCCACCCCCCCAGACATCCTGATTTCCTTGGTCTGATCTGAGACCTGGGCATCAGGATCTTCGAGAGCTCCTCTGGTGGGTCCGCTGGTCAGCCAGGTTTGGGGATCACTGGCGTAGGGGAGAGACTGCTAAGGTCTCTGGAAAGATTACCTGCTAACGTAAGGAAGCTCTTTTGGAACATCTGGAGGGTTAACAACCTTGCAAAATATAGGGAAGAGGAGGTGGAGGGTGATTTCGGTAATAGGGGATTAGTCTTTTCACCGCCAGAGCTGGTGGAAAGCTCTGCATCCTCTAAGGAGTCTGAAGGGCTCCCCCTTCATCTCTGCGGGGAGCCCTGGAGGCTGTGGTCCTGCGTCAGGGTCCTCTTAGGCAGGTGGTGTCTCTCCCTCTCTGCTACAGGGCGCCCCCTCCTTAATTTAAATTGACTCTTGGAGCACCTCCAAAGCATCACTTTGTGTGTGTGTGTGTGTGTGTTTTGTTTTTTTTTTTTTAAACTCCTGAAGTGTTTGCAGCTCTTTGCTCTTCCCCCTTTGAACACTGCTATTAGTGCCTGGAGATGTGTTTCCGAGAAAATGTATAAATACCGCTTAATTTGCCTGTCCTGTATTTGCTTAAAACAGAATGCTCCTGGACATGATTGTGAGGGTAGGCGAACAGATGTCATTCTGTTAGGGTAACATTACGAAACCAATTTCAGAGGATGAATTATTAAAAATATAAAAGGAGATGTTTTTACCAAAGGTGTTAAGGACCCTTAGCAAATTCAGTCGGTTTTGTTCAAGCAAATTTACTCGGTTTAGAGAGCCTTTTTTCCCTAAGATTTGGTATCTTCTGTTCTTACGGCTCTTGGTACTGTCAAGCACTGTCAAGCACTGTCTTACGCGTCCTTTTAATCCTTACATTAGGCATATGTGGTGAGCACGCGCTTTATTAAAAGGGGAACTGAGGTCCAGAGAAGTAAAGCGACTTCCACATTTAGGAAGAAGCAGAGCCAGGGGTCAGACTCAGGCCTTCTCACCTGCGAGTCCTGCCTCCGCCACCTGGCTCCACTGCCCCCTGTGAGTTCTGGTTTTAGGAGAGCCAGGTCGGGTGTGTGCAAACACCTAATGGCAGGTGCTGGGAGGGGGAGGAAAGGACCAGGGAACGGGCGGGCTCCTTAGGACTGGTCTCTGTGTGAAACTTGGAACAAACATCCACCTATTGGGTGGTCTAGACTCTTGCTCCTTTACTCGGTAGTCGCTTTGCCTTCTGTGGAGGCAGCTCAGTCGCCAGAGCAGCAGTGAGCTTGGACACTGCTCGGGGGTTGTTAAGCCCCTCTCCCTTGGAAAATGGCAAGGTAAAGGTGTTGCTCCAGGAGAGAGACCCTGGGTGGTTCTCTGGGGAGTGCGGGGGGCCTGTCCCAGCTCTTCCTCTGAAGACATTCTCGATTTAGTAGGCTGTGTTGAAGAGGAGGGAATGAGAGGATTTTGAATCGTATCCCAAGTGAAGATCCACTACCCTCTTTTCTCTCAGGAGTTCAGAGGTCAGGAAGCCCAGTGGGTCGTGGCCTGGAAGCCGGGACGTCTCTTCTGGTTCCAGCTCTGTGTCAGGCTGGACGTGGCAGTTACCAGCCCCAGGCTCCTGAGTCCATCTCAGAATTCAAAGAGTATTTATTGAGTGCATAGAATGTGCTGGACGTTATGAGTTAAAAGGGGCAGGGGTGATCTTAGTAGTTTCTACTAACACTTCCACTGTGTGATTCTTTAAGTCATTAATGAAGTACAGAGGGTCCTCGATTTATGATGGTTTGACTTAGAATCTTTTATTGTACGTGCGATGCACGTTAAGTAGAAACTGTACTTGGAATTTTAAATTTGGATTCTCCCCCGCCAGGCTAGTGATAGGCGGTGCAGCCCTCTCCCGTGATGCTGGGTGGTGGCAGCGAGCTGCAGCTCCCAGCCAGCCCCGTGATCACCAGGGTCGACAACCCCCACACACTGACAACCATCCTGTTTTTCACTTTTAGTACGGACTTCACAAGTCATGTGAGGGAGTCAACACTTCATATCAAATAGACTTCGCTTTAGATGATTTTATCCCCCTGTCGGCTAACGTAGGTGTCCTGAGCACGTTGAGGGTAGGCTAGGCTCAGCTATAATGGTCGGTAGGTTGGGTGGATTAAATGCATTTCAACTTAAAATATTTTTAATTTGCCCTGGGCTTATGGGGACATAACCCCATCGCGAGTCAAGGAAGATCTGTATTAGTAAACCGCTTTTTCAATCTGCAAAGGGGCCCAGCAGTCTGTGTATCTCATGTATTCACACGCGTGGAGCTCTGTTCAGCAGTTACCTGGCTGATGGCTCCAGTGGGTTTGTAACCATTATTTCTGGCTTTGTATATTTAGTTGGAGAGTCCGTGATTTTTCAAAAACTCATTCTGAAGTTTGAAGAAGCCGATTGCCAAAAGCCCATTGTGCTGCATGATTAGACTTGGTCCACGTGACAGCACTAACATGTTTTGAAATGTTTTTAGAGGCAGTGTCAGTAAAGATGAAGGTGAAGGATCCTGCCCTGTTTAAGAAGAAAATACCGCCCCCCCCCCCCTTGATCTGAGCTTCAGGATCAGCAGCTAGTGTCTGAACCTTTTCTGACAGGAGTGGCAAGTCAACTCTGATAGGAAATTGATGATTATGGCTGTTAAGGGAAGCTGGCCCCATGCTGGTGCCCCAGGCCCTAAAATTCAGGTGGGATCAGAGTGTTAGCTGGGACCCACCTAGGGAAGCATTTGGCCTTTGCCCCGATGGCTTGCTGTGAAAGTTGTGTGTTTCTGTGTGTGTGATTTTGGACTCAGAACATGAAATGGGCTTATTTAAAGTCGGGTTTTACAAATATGAGAAAAGGGCAAAGTTCTAGAACGGTTCCCCCCTACATTGTTTCCACATATATGGTTTCAAAAGCAGATTCTGCTTCTCCGATCTGTACAAAACTACTTTCAATTTGTTTTCTTCTGTCACTTTTGGACATTTGAAATCATCGTAAGAAACATTTTTGGCCTTGGTTATTACCGGTTTATTCTTAAGCCATCAGCACATATGGGGATAGAGTATAAACCTTGTTCTCGGGGGTCATTCCAGTCGGACATCCTAGTGTCTGTCCATCCATTCCTTCTTCTTCATCTTCCTCCTAAAAGGTCGCCTTTCCTAAGGCAGTTTCAACAGTTGGCTCTTTGCACAACCTCGAAGGATAGCCTGCCATCCAGCCCATGGGCATGAGCAGGTTAGTTTGAATTCAGGCAGGGATCCAAGCTTATGTCAAATAACCGGTTTGACTGAAATTTTCACTTTTCCAGAGTCACTAGGTACAGCCTCCTTCCTACACGTTTAGATAGGCACAGTCAATACAGTTGTCTAGAAAGTTCCCTGAGCCAGTGGGGAGCAGGAGGGGGTATTTGGGGCCAATGAACGGTGGGTGGTGGCTTGTTTGTTTAGCCCTGTTAGAAACTAAGTGCTGGATTTGACATTTTAAATCTCTGAAGGCCCTGAAGTATAATATCAAATGCCTGACCCTGTTGACTAAGCATCTGTGAATTGCATATGCTTAAAATAAATTTTACTCCTACCAAATTTCAGCAGCTTGCTTCAGAAAGTAGTATGTGAAAGCGAGCACCGAGGGATAGAATTTCCTTCTCTGCTCCAACTTATAGTCCATCCTGGTGGGCCAGCACACCTGGCCCTGATTTAGGAGAAATAATTACATAAGTTAACCGCCGCTGTTTGTCCTTTGAGTATAAGGACACGAATAGCTGCCTGTTACGACTTAGGCTTTTATTTTCTTTGCGTTTGGGCCACAGTGAGCAGTTTGCACTGTTGCATCCACGTTCTGAGACTTAGGAATGAATCAGCGTCGGTG